AGATATTTTTGGGGGCAATTTGTTAGCTCACAAATTCGACGCCTCATACTTAGATTAAAATAGTTGAATAAAATATTAAGGTCTTTAAAGAAAGTAAAAGACTTCGAGCGAGGAGACCTTCGAGCAGGAAATTCAAGTGTTTTGGGACTTAGAGAAATTTTCAAATATTGAAGAAAAGTGCCTTCGACTGAGACATTGGCTGAATATTAGTGAAGTTTTTGAAATTAAAATAATGGAGGGAGTAGTTATGCTTTCTCATGACTAAGTAGTACAAGTGGCGTTCTTATAGCAAGTGACTGCATGCACTATGACACTTGTCGGAAGCTGATGGTTTTAGGAGGTTATTGGTAGTTATTTTTACTATTATAAATAAGAGTTCTAGACATAGAATTCAGTGTGTTATAATTTACTATTTGTGCAAGTTATTCCCAAATTTACTCAAAGTACCCGAGTGTAGAGAAACGAGTTCAAGGAGAATGTACGTTATGTAAACACATCATCTTTACTTTCAATGAAGTTTAATTTACTTGCTTAACTTTCAAAAAGTTTTCCTTTACTTTTCCTGCAATTTGCCTCTTCTACGCATTTTACTTTGCTTTATTAAACACTTTTCAAAGTTCTTTACTTCATTTTCTACAAGTCTTTATCTTTTTTCTTCAGTTGAACAACCCCTTTACATTAAGCCTTCTACTGAAACACTGTCGAAGTGTACAATTTAGATAAATTAGTTCACATACAAAATTTAGCACATGTCCTAGGATCAATCTGATCGATCCTGTGAGTCACCAAAGTTAGATTTGGAATATTAGCGGTTATTTTCCATTTTTCAAGGGAAATAGCATGTTATGATTGATTTTTTATTTTTTCTCCAAGAATTCATGGGTTTTGCTATTGTTTACCTCCAACCTATTGTATTGAAAGATTTGAATATTGTCCGATTAAAAGTCGCACAAAATATTCTTAGCTAATATAGAATTCCTACCACTGCCTGGATCTTGAGAATGTTGAATCTCCATGATCAACCATTCTGCGACCGACCATCAGAACGAGAGACTAAAACTAAAAATTACACCATCTAGAAGCACGAACGAAGACAGAGACGAACAAGGGCGCACCAACTGAGGAAAGAAACGAACTGCAGCAGAAACGATTAGCTACCAAAAAATAGGAACACACTAGCGAAGAAAATTGAAGCCAAAGGTCACAATCCAGGCAAACACGAGGGATCAAAACACACTACAATAACATGGAGAAGTTACTGAAGAACAAAGAATAAAAGGGAAAAAGTTTACCAAAAACACCGATTAAAGGATTCAATCTTGCATGTGAATTTTGACAAGAGCTTGAAATAGGATCATTAACAATCAACAACTTAGAATCTTGACAGATTCTTTACCATACCATACCGAAAAACTTAATTGCAAGTTATTTGGTGGAAAAAAAAACATTTCGGAAAACTTAATTGCAAGTTATTTAGTGAAGATAAAATACATATCGAAAAATTTGATTGCAAGTTATTTGGTGAAGAAAAAATACATACCAGAAAACTTGATTGCAAGTTATTTGGTGAAGAAAAAATACATACCAAAAAATAAAATATTAAATAATAAAATTATTTGATAAATAAAAAAATATAATTGAAATATTTTAAAAAATATAAGAGTAAAAATATAAGGGATAGAATATGAGGTAAAATTTTCTTTAATTTGGTGAATTCGTCTTTACTCCATAGTTCACGTTATTCCGTTAAGAAGAATAAGATAGATTCATCTTAACTGATGTTAGTTCAAAATATACTTTAAGGAAGAAAAAAAAAATCTTTCCAATCACTTATGGTCTTTAGCTTATCTTTTTTTTTTTAAATAGATTAAACCATAATTTCTTTTTAATTTATTGAATAACCATTATTTCCTATCATCGAGATGCCATTGCATTTAGATATTTTAATGATTAACACGGATTTTATTTTCTACATTCATCTTAATAAAGGTTTGAATCCTTTTGCAATTACTTGAACAAGTGAAATATTATGCATGTCACGTGTTTGTCATATGCTCAGCCCTTCTCTTAGTTGGGAGTTATCAGCAAAACCATGTAATGCAAAGTGTACGCCCATTGCAAGTAGGTGATTTGATTATGTGGTTTGAGATCATTAGTTGATAAAGTAAATAATTCAAAGATAAATGGTGTAATCTATAATAATTTGAATGTACTCCGTAAACCAAATCTATGCAAGATAGTTCTCACATTAACATAGACAACCCCCTGTCACTAGGGGCAATCTCATGTACGAATAATGAACCAAATACAGAACTATCTCTTTCACCGCATACCTATCTATGCCCACACTAGAAACTTTCTACTAGGAGGTCTTCATCACAGGATGAATCAACTTTCTACTAGGAGGTCTTCATCACAGGATGAATCAACCTCTTCTGCAATTCAAGACAAAATCTAGGTTCAAACAAGCAATTCAAGACAAAATCTACATTTAACAAATTGTTTGAACGAAGTCTTCATATTTGGGCAGGTCTCTTGCTATGCTAACTCCTTAAATATACTTTACTCCTGTACTCTAATTATTTCATATCTTTGAGAATAACAATAACCAATCTCATATAATTGGCTACCTGACCATCGTTTGTAGAAAAATAAAAAGTCAAGAAAACATGGGACTAACTGTACAAAGTGATTGTTGACGTGACACTCATAATCGAAATATTTTGATTTTGATTTAGCAGCTTAATTATAAATTTCAACTATTCATGAAAAAAGGTTTTTATTAACTGCAAACACAACTTGTTACATTCAATATAGAAGATATAATGGTAAGCCAATATAAAACAACGAAAACTATTGGCGGCTACCACAAAATATGGCTGACCACTAATTACCAACATTAAAAGCATTCATTATCATAAAAAAATGAAAGGTGTTGTGAAGGGCACAGAAAGTGATATTATACCAGATGCAAGACTGTTAAAAAATTTCAAACTAAAAATCAAAGTTTAACACCTTTATTACTATTATCTCTCTAACTAGAAACATTGAAAGTTTGTTATTTCATTTTAAAATGTCATTCACATGAAACATCAAATTTCAGAGCTTTGGGTTGGAATCGAATCATTTGATGACATAGTTTATGCAAACCCACACAAAGATAAAAAACAAACATGATTCTTAAACGTGATTTTATTCACTCACATTAAAGACAACTTTCAAGTGATGCCACAAAATTTTAAAAAACAGCAGATTATAATTTGACCAAACTTTCTTCCAAATGATAGATTGCACAATACATTTAACAAAAGGTGATCCAATGTAAAACTAATCAAATAAAAAGATCCACCATAGCTGAAAACCAGTTAACCAATTTATCAAAAAATTGATAAATTACATAATAGTGAAGATTTAAATCCTATCACCCATGAACTCTAAAGGGACTTAAATTACTTCAAACAAGTTAATCAACCGGAGAGTACCATCGTAGTCAAATGCTAGTAAAAAAAGGAAGGATTCCTAAGGGATAGATTCCTTAGGTGCCAAAACATGACATATACATTGAAATGGCCACGCTAACATTCAAATCTTTAAATCTTTAAAACAGTTCAATCAGTGCTTCTACTTCTGTTTGAAATAATTTGTTAATACCAAATTCATTAATACCAATTACGATCACTCTAGCAACATCAAAACACTATTAACATTCCCTAACTCCATAACTCAGACACATAAATATGGCCAAATCATTTTGCATAATACAATTTGAAAACATTAACTCAGATCCAAATAATTACTTCAAAACAAAACATACCGAACCAAATATAAAATACTTCAATGTAGTACATTAATAAAATTATGAAATAACAAACAGAAATCCAAAAATGAGTTCAGATTCAAAAAACACTAAAACAATACTTAATAAGCAAAAATAAAACAGTCTCCAATAAAGCTAACTCAAAACCTGAGCTTAGTGAAAAACCACCTGTTCTTCCCAGTCTTAAACCTCTCTTCGAATCTCTTCTTCGCCTCCTTCAAAGCAGTAACCTTCTTATCCTTACTCAAAAGCGCATCATTGGTAACAATCTCCTTCAAATCAACATCCAGAGTATACCTAGTAGGCATAAGATGCTGGTAGTTAACAAGCTTCACAAACGCCTTCACACGCGATTTCTTCGCGGTTTTCTTAGCCGAATCCTTCTTGATAACCTTGCTGGGATACTTCTTGATCCCTGCAACCAAGGCATGACCATAAGCACGTTCGCGAGTTCCATCATCAAATTTTAGCTCTTCTTCTGTCATGCTTTGTTTTTAAACATAGAATCCTTGTTAGAAGCCCACCATATGGTTGGGGTCGGAAAACTTGTAGGGGCTAGAACTTGGTTTGGTTTAATTCTTTTCCTTAATGTGTATCTCCTCTCTTCATCAGCTTTCTCACAAAATATTGCTTTGGAACACAATAAATTATTGACAAAATATTTTAAAGCAATAAATTATTTCAATAATATTTGGATCAACAAAATATTTATTACTTTAAAATTAGTGTTTTCAAATTGAGAAAGCAATAAAATATTTAATAAATATTGCTTTGGATAAATTTATTTGAAATAATTTTACAAATATTATTTAAAGTATATCCTCTCTTCATCATGCTTTGGATCACAATTTAAAATATGATTATTGAGAAGTTAAACTTTACCAAATGAGAAATGTTTTTGAAATGATGTATTTGAAAAGGTAAAAATAGTTAACTTATATTCAGACAGGAATACCGGATAGAGTAATCTCTCACAATAACAATTATTTATGGTACACTAAAAATAATCCAACGAAAGCTTTCTCATTAAGTTATTCAAAAGCTGCAGGATAAAAGCCAACAACAAAATAGATTGAAAGCACATTTAATCAGGCATATAGTTTGTTACAATTGTCACAAATTTGACAACAATGATAACATCAAGATACAAAAGTTATGAATCAGTATTTGTCTCATCCAAAAGTTATGAATCAGTATTTGTCTCATCCAACGAAGTTTCAGATGCACCATTTTGAGCTTCAAGTAGCTTCATTTGGTGCTCTGCATGTTCCCTTTCGCACGCTGTAATTCCCATAATAATATCCAGCATAGTTCCGGTGGTGCCAAAAAATACAAGGGGTCCAAGAGATTTGCGCTTAATTCCTACCGGAATTGCCAGCAAAGCTCCTGCCACAGAGAATACCCAAGTTCCCAATGCACTGCAAATATTCTGTGTTCAGTAACATAGCTAACAAAATTCACCTCTGAAGATGTCATTTGAAACATAACAGAAAAACAAACTTAAAAGGTAATGAAGAACACAAATAAACTAAATAAAATCACAGAAGAATAAAGAACAAACTTAACAAAAAACAGAACTTAAAAAGTAATAAAGAACAAACTTAACAGAAAACAGAACTTAAAAAGTAATAAAGGAACTCACTAATACAAATTATTGATAGTCCTTCTACACCTGCAGATATCCAGACCATAGCAATATTTATGAAGCACGACACTCCGAACACGACCCTGACACTAACACAACGACCCTGACACTAACACAAGGACACCGGTAATAATTTGAAAAGTGTCAGTGTAGGCACGGACACATTTTCTCAGAGATGTCGTGCTACATAGAAAAATATTGTATTGTCGACAACAAAAAAAAATGTATTATAAGAGAAGAGTGTAACCCACAGTACAAATGCTCATAAAAGAGATAATTCTCTTTCTGCTCAAACCTCTTAGATTCTACCTGAAAATTATTTTTAGCACAATCACAACATCGACATCGACACTGACACATCGACCAATAATAATTTGAAATAATGAATAAATTGAAAGTAATCACATGTGTCAGTGTCGGCGTCGTCTGACCATACACGGACACAACTTTTATTAGACTTTAGAAGCTACGATTCCCCGCTTACAAGCTCACCAGATCAGATCAGCAACATAACCAGTTCAATTCCCTATCCAGCATGCTCTTTGGGGCTTAGGCCCAAACCAAGTATCTAACATAATTGTTTACAAAAACACTGAATAATTAATGATTAATTATTCACAAGTCAAAAATAAAAGCAAGAATTATTCACTGCAAAAGAACTTTTCTTCGAAGATTAATTAGGCTACAAATTACTCTCTCACTGATTCTGTTTACAGATCTTGTTATCCCACATTTGAGAAACAGAATTGAGCATCTAAACCCTAATTTCATCCAATAAGATACAATAAGATACACTATATACAGTGACAATTCAGCTTAGGTGATTGCAGATTTATAAGCAAATAGATGAAAACAATCCACAATTTCTAATACAATTCAAGCAACAACCACGAATCGGAAAATGAATTAAGATATGTTTTTATAAAGTTATGAACGATGGGAAAATGAAAGTGAGAAGAAATTGACTAACTTGGCAACGGAACAATCTTCGAGATGCTTTACATTTTCTTCACCTCCCATTTTGGAATCGCAGATGAATGAATAGCGGTAACTAGGTTTCGGTTTCAGGTTTCGGTTTCAGGAATCAGTGAATCGTTAAAAAGAGACTCAGGCCGGTGGGTAAATCATCCATCAAAATTATTTGTTAAAATTTGTTTTATTCTTATTACTTCTTTTCTGCACAGCTTGTTGGTGATTTTTAGAGTAAAATTTAAATTCAATTTCTTGTTTGTTTATTTACTCATAGCATATGTTTCTATTTATTTTTTTACTAATTGTCCGGTATTTGTTTAATATTTCTAGTCAAATATTTGACATCTGTAAAAAAAAAATTAACACATTTAGTTTTTAATATTTATTTTCATTGCAATTAAAATATTAAACAAATATTTATTTACTTTTAGCATTATGTTTTAATTGCAATGGAAATAAATATTAAAACTAAATGTGTTATATATATATATATATATATATATATATATATATATATATATATATATATATATATATATATATATATATATATATATATATATATATATATATATATATATATATATATATATATATAACTAAATGTGTTATATATATATATATATATATATATATATATATATATATATATATATATATATATATATATATATATATATATATATATATATATATATATATATATATATATATATATATATATATATATATATATATATATATATATATATATATATATATATATATATATATAAAACTTGTTTTTGGTGTAGTCTTTATTTATTATCAATTTTATCCTTATTTACATATAATTTACACAATATTTTCTATTAAAACTATTATTATTATTATTTCTTACATAACTTTATATTATTAACTTTTTTTTAAATTAATATTAAATAAAAAATATCATAAATATTTTCATATGTATACATTAAAAAAAGTGGACAGTGGTCTGTCCCCTAGTATATATAAATCATATAGATTATAAATTATAGATTATGTGTTGAATTGTATAACTAATAATTATAAATGTTAATTTTATTACAATATATTAATCATATAGAAATTATTAAAAAAAATATTTTAAATTATTAAATAATTAATAAACATGTTTTTAATTATCATAAAAGTATTAAATATGCAATAATTTCTAATTAAGAAAAATAAGCATATTTTAAATGATAATTAAATTATATTTGTGAAAGAATAGAGAAATTAAATCTTTTAAATACATGTTTATGATAGAATGATATCCTATGAATGATTTGAAATGATATTTTTGTTACTTTGTTTTTTGTTTTTGGGAAGAATTTTAAAATATAAAACATTGACGGCAATGATTGTAACTAGAAATTAATGATAATTTTTTGCTACAATTTATTAAATATTTTTATTGTTGATCAAATACGAAAAAATACATGATTATTACTTTTTAAATATTAAAAAATATATATTATTGATCTAAATATTTTAAAGTAAATACTAAAAACATAAAATAAGACCGATAAAATACATTAAAAATTAAAGATTACAAAAGATAATGCATTATAATATAAAAATTGATAATATTATAAAAATAAATACATAAGTAATGTATGAATTTAATAGTATCAAAATTGTATGATAATATGAAATACATAAGTAATATATGAATTTAATAGTAGCAAAGTTGTATGATAATATGAAATATTTTTAATTATTTAATGATAAAAAAATAAAATTAATATATTTTAGGAATAATACATATTAAACTTATAATAAAAAAATAAGACAAAAATAATATTTACTTACGAAAAAATTTATTGTTTATCCAAATATATATATATATATATATATATATATATATATATATATATATATATATATATATATATATATATATATATATATATATATATATATATATATATATATATATATATATATATATATATATATATATATATATATATATATATATATATATATATATATATATATATATATATATATATATATATATATATATATATATATATATATATATTATATATGATTAACTAAAAAACAATAATTATAAGTGATCCTGGGGATCCACCCACTAAAAATCAAGAAGACAAAAAAAAATAGAATTGCTAACACAAAACTAATCTAACATTAGAGTTTTTCTAAGTTTCAAATTATTCCATCCCTTATAATTTATAATTCTTTTACCTGATTGTTATTATTTCCCAAAATTTTGTAATTTCTAAAGTTCCACAATAGATGGAAAAATATTTTCGTACAAGTAAAAATTATATTTATGATCTAATTATAAATAAAAATATGTCTTTTTTTTTTCTAAATAATAAATTCGTTTGATTAAGCAATTTTATTTTTTTTCTTTTTATTTTTACTACCATACAAGTACCCGTGCATAGTGAACGGGAAAAAGAAAATTGCTAATTAAAATATTAAATAATAGAAATTTATCAATTAGTATATAAGTACTGAAATATATTATTGATCCAAATATTTTTAAATGATCTGATTTAAATAAATGAGAATAATTTTAGAAAAATAAAAATAGTATCAAAACATAAATAATATTTACATACAAAAGAAAAATACTGTTAATTCAAATATTTTTATATAGAAAAAAATTATAGACACCAATGTATTCTCTTATAAAGGAATAATTTTTTTTTGGTTATACAATTTTATTTTTTATTTACTTTATTTTTATTACACTTTAGAAATAAATGTGTGTATTATATCGATATCTGTGCAAACACACGAGTATCCCACTAGTTATTAGAATGACGATGAAGTGACCACACTGATGCAAATAGAACTTAGTTTTTTTTTCTTCTACTTTTACTTAGTTCACAATTAAAATTCCTCAATTTTTAAAGTCAAATGTAAATTTTTAGTTAAAACTTTTAATATTTTAAAGTTTTTAACTTAAAAAAATACGGAGTAGATGTATCATGTCTTTCAGCAATTTGTTAGCTAACTAATTATTCGACTCTATATTTTTTTTCAATCTTCTATTTTAAAAGTTTAAAAACTTGAAAACATAATTTTAAAAAGGATTATTTTATTTTATCCTTATTATATAGGTGAGTTTTGATTTACACCTTTGTAGTTTTTTTTTAAAACCAACATTGTCATATAAAGATTCTGTTTGTTTAAACCTTAGAAAAATGACAGAAACCTGATGCATGTGTTATGATAAGTGACTTTTTTTTTAATTGACATATGGCCAAACTCGTGTCACCATAGTAAATTGTCTTTATAAAAATGTCAAAAAAGTGATAAATTCTCTATATAACTCGTCTTCTCCATCGTATACTGCAATTCATCTTCAGCCAAGGCAACCTATTATCAAGGATGGCAGAAAAAAATGGTCGAGCTAAAGAAAATTGATTCAAAGGCTTGGGAATGGTTGATGAATGTTCCAACAAAAACATGGTCTAAGTATGCTTTTAACATTTACCCTAAATGTGATGTACTGATGAATAATATTTCTGAATCTTTTAATGCAACAATACTGAGTGCTAGGAATAAACCTATTTTAACAATGTGTGAATGGATTGGAAATCACCTAATGAATAGAATTTCAGCAACTACATCTAAGCTAGAAATATGGGAACATGTGATAATGCATATTCCAGGGAAGAGGTTAGATAAGGAGGTTTATATGAGTGGGTAATGGACTCCATGTTGGTCTATGAATGATTTATGGAAGGTAAAACATGCACACAACACTCACAAATTTGTTGTTGATATAAGCAAAAGAACATGTTCTTGTAGGTTTTGGGATTTTGTATGCATTCCCAGTAGACATGTTTATGCACAAACAGAACCAACTGGTGTGTCACGAACTAAGAAAAGAAAACTCATTCGTGTCAAGAAAACTCTAAAATCAACAATGAAGGTGAAATATTATAGTCCAAGAAAATCAAGCGAAAAGTTGAATAAATTGAAAACCTAGTCAATTAAAGGCCCATGGGCAAGCGATGATGAATCAATGACCATACCAGAAAATGAATATGGAACTTGGACTCAGGAATATGATGTGGTGGTAGCAACCCATAGGCTAGGGACATGCTTTAGGAAAATGAGGTATTTGGATGACATTGGAAAGATAGTTGATTAGGCTTATTTAATGCTTGATGGTTTTGTAATACTTGTAACAATCCTTTTTTAATCCTTTGGATTGCTAAGACAGTTGCAACTTTTAGTTTCTTAATCCTGTTGTAATGACTGTTAAGGCAGACGCTTAAAAGTTGATGGACAATTCTAGCAAGTGTACTAAATTAAAAATGTTGCACTAAATTATCTTGTTAAAATTATCGACAGTCTTCGATAATGGCGCCAAAAACTTGATAGAAAATTATAACAAGTGCATTAGTCTTGTCGAAGTAATAGATTAAATTCTTCTTTACAAGGATTTTGAATTTTAACAAAATAACGATGATGTGAACTCTTTGAGACAAATATATGACTACTGGCAGGATCAACCAGGTAATGTATCCAGAGCGTAGGCTTGCTTTGAGCACTCTAATTTCTTCAAAGTAACAGCGTCGGAGGCACAACCCGGCCAATTAAGGACAGCAGAGTTGATGAAGAAACGCTGAATCATCTTTTTTTCTCTTGCCAAGTGACCAGTCACATATGGAAGGAAGTGCTCGATTGGTTTAACATCTCTCATGATCCTCAACCATGGGATGCTGAGATGATTTGGCTCACCAAGTTAACAAAGGGAAAGGGCTGGAAAGCTGAAATTTTGAGGATGTTAGCCGCTGAAACTATATACAACATCTAGGAATATAGGAATGACAAAACTTTTGGAAACACTGTAGATAATACAACCACAGTATCTAACATCATTGACTATGTGATCTATCGAGAGGGTGGAACAACATTAGGGTTAGGAAACATCTTGTTAATTTTATGCTGTAATTTTTAGTCTGTTTTGTCGGTTGGATCCCCCTGGATCACCTAGATCTGTACTGTCGTTGTTTTTTTAATCAATATATTCGTTTTTATTTTTAAAAAAA